GGCAAGCAGCTCGAGGACGGCCGCACGCTTGCCGACTACAACATTCAGAAGGGTGAGTTCGTAAATATTTCTTACGCTTACTATGTGGGTGATGCATCATGCTGATTATTGGCAAAAACTCCGCCCCCTTCCCTCCTCCCGCCACCCCCCCCCCCTCCACCCTCTCTTTCTCTCCCCTCCCCTCTCTCCTCCTGCATCCTTTTGTCCGCATCCTCCCTTTACTCCTCCCTCTTCTCCGTTTTCTTCCGTCGAGCTGCCTCACTTCTCTGTTGCAATGCCTTCCCTATCACGACCGCCCTTCTTTCTCACTCTTGGTACCGTTAGTCCATGCAGAAGTCGTCGCGAGTGTCCCTTACGCCCCTCTCACCGCTTCTCACCCTTTCTCCCGCTTCTTCCCCTCAACCTCTTCGTATCAGAATCAACGTTGCGCTTGGTGCTGCGGCTGCAAGGACGAATTCTCGAGCCTTCTCTCATGGCGCTCGCGTTTGTGTCTCCCTCCCGTCACACGCCCGGCCCCACTCCCCCCTCTCCCTTGCATTTCCAGAGTCGACGCTGCACTTGGTGCTGCGGCTGCGAGGAGGAATTATCGAGCCTTCTCTTATGGCGCTCGCTCGCAAGTACAACGCCGATAAGATGATCTGCCGCAAGTGAGTCTCTTCTAACGGGTACAAAACTTCTCTCATGGCGCTCGCTCGCAACGCTGTTTTACATAGTGAGTACAACGCTGCCACAAGTGGATCACGCTTCATTGATGTTCCTCACTGTTTCGCCTCCCCCACCCCGCCGTCCCAGGTGCTACGCTCGCCTGCACCCGCGTGCTGTGAACTGCAGGAAGAAGAAGTGCGGCCACACCAACCAGGTGGGCAGACAGGCTGTAGCGGGCAGTTGGGCAGGCTGTAGCAGGCTGTGACGCTTAGGTTGGCCGGCTGTAGTGGCCAGTAGGCTCAGAATCCCGAGAGCAAGCCTGCACCCGTGCCCTGTTGCATGAAGAAGTGCGGCCACACCAACCAGGTGGGCAAGCTATAGCGGCCAGTTGGGCAGGCAGGCTGTAGCGGCCAGGTGGGCAGGCTGTAGCGGCAGGCTGTAGCAATCTGATGGGCAGGCTGTTGTGACCAGTAGGCGCAGTATCCCGGCAGCAGCAGGGTAAGCCCGCGTGCACCCGCGCGCTTTGAACTGCCGGAAGAAGTGCGGCCACACCAGCCAGGTGGGCCGGCTGTAGCGGCAAGCTGTAGTGAACAGGTAGGCCAGCTGTTGCGACCAGTACGCGCAGTACCCCGTGTGCAGCAGGTGCTACGCTCGCCTGCACCCGTACGCTGTGAGCTGCAGAAAGAAGAAGTGCGGCTACACCAACCAGGTGGGCCTGCCGTATCAGCAGGCTGTAGCTCCTGGTGGGCATGCTGTAGCGACCAGGTTGGCAGGCAGTAACGACCTCGTGGGCAGGCCGTAACGACCAGGTAGACGGGCAGTAACGACCTCGTAGGCAGGCTGTAGCGGCCTCGTGGGCAGGCAGTAATGACCACGTGGGCAGGCTGTAGCCACCTTGTGGGCAGTAACAACCACATGGGCAGGCTGTAGCAACCTCCGTAGGCAGGTTGTAGCGACCTCATGGGCAGGCTGTAGCGAGCAGGAAAGGTTTTAGCAGCGAGGTGGAAGAAATTCCTTAATTGTTCTTGCCTTTATCCTCTGGATCTCCCCTTGTCCCTTCCCATCCCTTGTTTCCCTGTGCAGCTGAGGCCCAAGAAGAAGATCAAGTAGACACCTCTTGAAATACTTAGTGGTTTTCTGACTTGTATCTTTAGAAGGGCAGTTCACAGCCGGTCTTGGCCAAATGGGCAATTTGTCAGCCGTTGCTGGCTACTGCTTTGCTGGTCTGACTGGTGCTGATTATGAATGAGATCCAAGTGTAATGCCATTGTGTGCTATTGGTGAAGCCATCGTTCCATCATGTTGTGATGTAAGCCACGAGTACACCTGACAGGTGTGGTACGTTGCAAGATTACCTAATGTACCGGTACCGGAAAAGATGAGATTTAAATGGATGCCTATGTAGCCGGATAGCCTAACACGAAATTAAGTTCACTTTTACAACAAGCAGCAAGTGGGGAGGCTAATGTCCAAACGAGCTCATTCAAAAACCATTGCGCACTGTACTAGCACTTCAAAAATTTCATCCTCACACTTGCCGACTTTGTCCTGTACGTGAATGTTTTGACCACCAAACTCGTTCGCGCTTTCTCCAAGGATTTGGCAAATAATCGGGGCAAACGGAAAGTTCACAAGCCACACCACCTCCCGCCAAGCCCGAAATAGTTTGAGTGCACCTCCACCGTCCATCAATTGAGATGAACTGGATCGAGCGCGTTAATTGAAACGAAGCGCACACCTTTGGTTGAAATACCGGACCGCCAAATCTCATTTGTGAAATTGTGAAACCAATTTCTTCCCTCCCATCCATTTCACAAAATTGGTTCATTGTCACTCTCCTCAATCTGCCTGCACCGTTTGCTTCCATCTACCCCCTCGATCCACGATACTACCACGCTTTTCATGGAGGTTCGTCGAACACCAAGCGTGGTTCGGCACAGCGTCAACGCATGCACTTTTCTCCAGCCATCAGAGTTTCCGAGAACCTCTTTCTATTATCTCGCACAATCTCAGCATTCCACCGACAGAATAACAATCCACCTTTCCAAACATGTCGACTATATCTACTACCATCTTGACAAATTAGGCTTAAACCGGCGCAACTATTCAATCCACATTCCAAGAATCACGTTTTGCCCCTCTCGCGAAACAGCGCCCCCGCCTTTTTTTCCTACCGTTGGCATCGATACGCTCGATTCATTGTCAAGGATGCAAGCAGTGCAAGCTTGCTCTCTCTCCCTCCTCCACACATTCCGCACGTTTTCTGACTAAACTTCAGCTCCCATCACTTTCAGGAATCATTCGCGGTAGGATGCGTGAAGTCACTTCACTAGAGTTACTATTCGTTAACCTCTCCGGCGTAGCTCTTCACCGCTTCAGTGAAGTAGAAATCTATGTTTTCTCTCGCCACTAACTCTGTCATTCATACATATTCGTATTCTTCTCGCTGACTCGTAGTGGAAGAGCTTAGCAGCTATTTATCCCTGCTGCTGCCGACGAGGTAGATGATTGCTGATTATCGCCCCTAGCTGTTTGCTACTGGTAGTTTACATACGAAACATCCCTTTCCAGCCGAAACGATCCTTTGCAGTCAGAGCGATCAGCTAAAAACGATTCTTTGCAACAGGAGAAGACGGTTCAAAGCACCGGCGCCCTACCAGCTAAGCGGAACTATTCGTGCATATGCATCACAGTCCTCGCTCATTCGCATATTTGTGACGCGTACAGCCTTCCCTTTCTTTCGTGGAACTTTCGCGTGAAGGCCGAAATCGCTCGCTCACCCTTTCGCCGAAAGGGTTACCATATTACCAGAGGGTACTCTACATGGCGAGCACGATGCGGCATGTCCGAACAATTTTCATCGGCGCGCTTCTTCTGGCATGCTTCCACGTGGCACGCGCCGGATTTCTCGGGATCGGAGGCAAGAAGAAGAAGGCATGTGACCTCTCCGTTGGCAGGTAAGCGGCTGGCGAACTTGTAACGTTGTCAGGCCTCTCTGTTCATTTTTAGTATTGCATGCGCAAGAGGTGCTAAGTCTGCCGCACGATACACCAATCTCGTGCACGAGAACAGCCGTCCCCACGTTCATCCAAAACCCGAATTTTCGCCATCCCCTTTCTCTCTCCCAATTCCTTCTTCTCCCACCTTTCTTGTACATCCTTCATAAATATCCGCCCCTGTTTTGCACCCTTCCCGGCCTCTCTTGCCCTCTACAGCTGGGCTCCGTCGACCAAGTACCCGGTATACGACTCCTCGTGTCCGTACATAAGCCAGGACTTCAATTGCGAAAAGAACGGGCGACCGGACGGGGACTTTCGCCACTTCGAGTGGAAACCGTCGGGGTGCAAGCTAACTCGCTTTGACGCGAAGAAATTCGCGATGACTTTCGTTGGCCAGGCCGTGGCGATCGTGGGCGACAATTCTGGGCAGTACATGTACCAGTCGCTCAGGTGTCGCCTAGATGCTGCGGGTATGAAGACTGAGGTAAGAACTGGTTACCCGATAATTCGGAAGGAGAAACTAAAGTTACGAGTTTATGCATTTCGATGAACGTCGAGCGAACAGCATGACACGCTATTCGCATAATACATCTCGTTTTGCTGGGTCAACATGACCCGCAGTGCTCTTCCCGTTCGCCTCTTATATTGAACCCCCGCTTGCCGCTCCTTCCCCCTGCAGAATTTCGATCCGTCTTCGATTGGCTGGACAGGCGATGGTTTCAAGGTCAAGCCTTGGGGTGTGAAGGTCGTGTTCGTTCACGCACCGTTCCTCACCGAAGCGGATCCTATGGACCCGGTAAGGGAGTTCTCCCTATAAGGGTCAGAACAGAAGATGCACAGTATTGTCGGTTAGTCTTTACTCTTTTCTTTTAGTTCCATCTTTCTACGGCCCTTCTGCGCTGTTCCTCTTGTGGTTGTTGTCACTCGTTTGCTTCGAAAGACTCTAACGCTTATAACTCGACTTTACTCCACTAGCAGTCACCATCTGTCCTCGTTTTTCCGATTTCCCTGTCCAACATCAGTTGAAGAGATCATCCAAAGACGGATGGATGGTGCACGTGGATAAGATCAACCACAAGCTAACAGAAACACTAAAAGGCTTGCGATCCGTCATCCTCGTGGCCGGCTCTTACTATGCGGTAAGCCTGAGAACAAGCCCTTAAAACTGCCTCATTCCATTATCATCATCACATAAGTTGCGTTGACTCGCAAGTTTTCACGTGATAGGGCTTCGACTTGACTCAAGCTTAACTTTTTTCTCTCCCCCTCCTCTCCCCCTCCTCTCCCCCTCCTTTCCCTCTCCCCCTTTCTCCTCCCCCCCCTTACCCTTTCTCCAACCGCCCCCCATTACTCCAGGAGTCCTCCAACAGCACGTATTACAGCAAGGACCGTGCGATCGCCTCGCAGCCCAGCGGCATTGCTGCGCTCAACATCGTGCTTCATCCTCCTCCTTCCCCTTCCTTCCCCTCCCCTTCCCCCATCCAGGAATCCTCCAACCGCACGTACTACAGCAAGGGCCGAGCGATCTCCTCGCAACCCAGCGGCATCGCGGCACTTAAGATCGTGCTGCGAAACGTCGCGGATTACATCAAGTCGAATGTCATGCTGGTGCAACCCTACGCGCTCTCCATCCCACCCGCGCACATGCCCAACATGTTCCAATACGCCGACACCACCTGCGCGCTTTTCGCCGGGCCTTTATCTACCACAGCTACTGATCTAGCCAAGGCGAGGAGCAGCGTTGTCGCGTGGACCAACGCACAGATCAACGCATTATCGAAATCCCGGGTGAAGCTGCTTAATATCTTGTCGCTGTCGCTCTATAGGGCGGATGCACACGTGGGGACGTATCGGCCGGCGGGAGGGTCGACGGAAATGGACTGTGCTAAGTGGTGCTTGCCGGGAGTTCCAGATGTGTGGCTGGATTTGTGGTACCACCAGGTCAGCGACCCGTTCAACCTTAAGCCATAAGGTGGTGATGAATCATTTAGTGAACTGCCCATAGTGACTGTACATGGAATACGTGGTGGAAGGATCATCATCACAGGTGCTTACTGGGACTCCTGGTGAGATGACATGACCAGAATTAGTGTGCGCAGCTGGTCAAGTAGCTGGTTTGCTCAACTGACATACAAGAGTGCGACTCTGTAGGTTGAGGAGGATACAGTTGGATGGTGTGGAGCTCACCATAACATTCTTTATTTGGGCATGAGAAGTCTCCATATGCCCATTAAATCTGGCATACCGGTACATTGTGTTTTGCAATTGGTATTGTAATTTTGCACTCTGACGCTAAGTGGGGCTGCAATGGACTGTTGGCGCGAGCATATCCGTTGGAAATGAAGCACTATGAAACATTTCTTTACTTTCTTTTACAATGTATTGCAACCTCTTAACGTTTTTTTTTTTAGGATGCATTTTACTATAAAGCGGATACATCCACAGTCGTAGCTGTAAGGGGGAAGGGGTCAGGTAGATGATGTGTTCTACACTGCCCTTCCTTAGCACCCTACGGTGGTTGAAAGGCCGTTCTCGGGTTGGACCCAGGGCTGATTTTATCAGGGTAATTACCCTGATTTCAGGGTGATTACAGGCTTCTCAACTGCTGGGCCCTGCAATTTCAGTTTTTTTAACTTGTGAACTCTGATCCAATCAGACAAGTTACTTAACGAACCCTGAAATCTTATAACTAGACTCAGAGTAGTGTACTTGCGGACTATGTCTATGCAGAGTATGCGTTCGGTGGACCCTGAATGCGAGGGTATCGGGACGAAGGTTCCTCGAAGTTTCCTTTCGATAACCCCCCCCCTGTGCGTAATCATTACTTCGCGTGGCCCCATGAGAGGTACCCCGTTCACGCGCTGGACTGACGTAATAACGACACCGAATTCCAACACCGTGCTGTAAAGACAGCTGTCAACAGTGACAACGCACCCAAATCTATGATACGTTGCTGCCACGCGCACCTCGCAGTGCACAGCATGCCTCTGCCATTCGCCAGAACGGCATGTTGACAGTATGCGTTGGCAGCTAAGCAATCCTTTAATGAATTCGGCCGTGCATTTACGGCCGAATTCATTGACGAATGTTGCCATCAACCTTGTGGCATCGCGCCGCGGTGGTTTCGTGATGACCCCGCCATCTCCAATCTTCCTTTCCTTCCCCCTACCCAGAGCCAGGCTTCCTTCGCTTCCTGCTTTTAGTTCAGTATCACACTTTCCTCTCGCTCCATCTTTCCCCTAGCTCGCCGCCATGGAGGCCCTGCCGGCCGACGAAGATGCTCCTCAGACTGGCCCTGACGAGCCACCTTTACCGGCGAAACCGACAGCGCAAGCCTTGCCGGAGAAAGCATCAGATGATCCCCGGTCTGGGCTCGATTTTCTTAGAGCTACCGGTGCTCCGGTGACACCAGAACCTCCTAGGTCTACGGTTCATGACTCTGCTGCTAGAGTAACCCTACTCCTTCTGATTCTCCACATCCTGTCGCCTTCACTCTACCCCCGGCTGTTGCTTCTTGCAGCAAAGATCCCCCACCGCCATCGCCTAGCCCCACTCCAAGCACGGTGCGTGTGTCTGTTGGCCCGCCGTCGGCTTCTTCCACTCCCAAGCGAGCGCGAAATGGGAAGTGGGCGTAGAGTACTCTGGTCGTTGGAGGCCGCCGTATTCCACCGCCTGACAATGACAAAGAAGCTGAGCAACCGGAGGAAGTTGACATCCCTGTGCGCGCGGATACCGGCTCGCCCGCACTCACCAAGATGCAGCTGCGAGAGCAGGTTTACCTTGAGGCGAGTATTAACTACGAGACGAAGTGGTCGCAACACTTTTCCTGGCTGGTGTTTGGGAAGACCAAGGACGGTTTTCCATACGTGAAGTGCTCCATCTGCATGTCGTACGCGAAGGGGAACACGAGGTACGCCATGCAAGGTGACGACGGTGGCCGTGACTTGCAGACGCAGTCGTTCAGGGCGCACGAGCATACGGACGCACACAAGGCGGCGGTGAATCGGCAGTTGAAGCTTGCGGCGGGCATCCGCGAGGGCCAGCAGGCGATTTTTGACTTCATCAACTCCGACGTCGAGGGGCGGCGCGCGATTCGTCTCATGCGGTCTACGCAGTTCCTGTGCCAGTGCGACGCGCCGATTAGCATGTTTCCGAAGCTGATGCGGCATCTTGCGGAGCAGGACACGCCAGACATTCCTCGACAATCTTACGGCGTGTATCTCACACGATATTTAATCTTACCGTTAGATTGCAGCTGGACATATGTGACGTGTGGTTTTTTTATTACGATCCTGACCATTTTATTCTCCTCTGTGCAGATACGGGTTCCAACAAATGGTTCACAGCATCAGTACATACCTCACTCGGGTCCAGATGGACCACATCCTGGCATCCCCCTTCCTGGGCATTCAGTGCGACGAGAGTACAGACCGAACACGAGGGAAACACATGATTGTGTACCTTACGTTTTTGAAGAATCGCCAAATCGCATGCGAGTTCTTTACATTGCTGACGGTTGAGCGGTGTGATGCAGGGTCTCTGTTCGAGGTGCTTCTGAACCATCTCCGCTCCGCAGCCGTCGATGTGTCCAAGATCGTCGGCATCAGCACGGATGGTGCGTCGGTCATGACCGGGAAAGAAAACGGATTGGTGGCGCGTCTTCGGGAACACGTTCCGCACCTGTTTTCATGCCACTGCATCGCCCACCGGTGTGTATCAAGTTTTCTAGTTGGTGTGGTTTTCTACGTATAAGATTAACCAATTACCTCTTGATTTGTATTCCCTGCATCCTACAGTGAGGCGTTGGCTGTGAAGGACGCCGCTGAGTCAAACGAGGACCTTGGCATGGTCGACAAGGTGGTGCGCACAGTGGCGACGCTTCTCGGAAACTCAAGCGTGTGGAGTCAGCGCTTCAAGTACCTTCAGCGAGTGATCTACCAGACAAACCTCGAGGTCCAAGGAATCCACACGGTTCGATGGCTGTCACGAGGTGATGCGGTGCGCAGGCTGTGCAAGGTCCTCGGCGCTTGCATCGTGCTGCTCTGGGAGCACAACCACAAGGCCTATGAGATTGTGACGTGCTACAAGTTCCAGTTCTGTTTGTTTTTCCTGGCCGACATTCTGGCCGACATGAACGACCTCAACCGCTGCTTCCAGAGGCGTGAGGTGAGATTGAATGCTAGTATAATGTTGAGATGGGAAGTGTAATCCTACACTTTTGCTAATCCTACTCCCTGTTGTTGATTGCATGTGTGACAGCTGGATGTGACTGAGATTTCGAAGACTATTGAGTCCACCACGGGTGACGTGACGGAGCGCTACTTGACGACAAACAAACCGTTCGGGGGCGAGGGCAAGAGCTGCTGGTAAAATTCCTCAAGGTCCACAAGGAGGGTGGAGGCAAGCAGGTCCGGGTTCGAGGCGTGGACGGAGAGGGACGCCCAATCAACCACCTCTACACCATGCATGAGAGGAAGCTGAAGGGCCACAAGCAGGGAAGCACCTACGCAGACTGCGTGAAGCTGTGCCGCCAATTTGCCCGCGACTGCGTGGACAACCTGAACGAACGGCTGGATGACCTTGGGAAGCTGGGCCCGACGAAGCTGTTCCGGGCGGGGAAGTGGCCGAAGATCAAGGCCCAGCGAGAGAAGAAGTGCAAGGAGTGGCTGCACGGATGCAGCATGCTCTTCCGCCACAAGCTACCGAGATTCGACCTCAAAGCAGCAGAGAGGGAGCTCCCGACATTATGCGCGATCATGGAGTCACACCATGAGATGGAGAGCTTCGCCCAGGGCCTTCACAACTTTCTTGGGAGCGTAGACTCAAAGAGGTAGGCCACTGCATGCGTACGAGTTTTTTACCTATTTGATTTTTATGTTGGTGATTATTAACATGTTGAATTCCAACTTGTTGATTTATTAACTTGTTGATACTTTTACATGTTTTGTTGTGTTTCGAATGTGCCTGGCAGGAGATGGCCCAACCTCATCCTGCTGTGGCAGGCGCTGGCTGTGCTTCCCCTCTCCACCGTGGAGTGCGAGAGGGGGTTCTCCAGGCAGAACATCATCAAGTCCTGGGTGCGTGGAGCGCTCTGCAACGCGCGTCTGGGGGAGCTGATGCAGATATCGCTCCTGAAGTACGAGATCGAATGGCCGGAGGCACTGGAGGTGTGGAGGTCCATGCGGAGGAGGCGCCCTGTGAAGAGCCTGAAGCTGGCCATGGCAGAGAGGGAGAGGAAGGGGAAGCAGAAGGAGGGTGAAGCTGTGGCTGCTGGAACTGCGGGGGAGAACGAGGACGAGGGGGAGGAGGAGGAGGAGGACGATGAAGTGGAACAGGACTTGGGCGACGATCAGGAGGTCGTGGAAGAGGAGGACAACTCTTTCCTGTCAGACGATGAGGACGTAGAGGAGGTGTACTTCATTGACAAGCCCGTGCACTAGATAGTGTAGTGTAGGAAAGTTGAAGTTGTATCAGTCATTTTGAAGTGTAGTGCAATGTTATTAGCAACCCTGATTTTGAGCTGTGAACCCTGACGGATCAGACTAGCATTTTGTTCGACACTGAGCTATCAGGGTAGCTTCCCTGTGAAAAATGTGCGATCATAATAGAGGGGGAAATTTTTTCCAGAAATCAGGGTGGCCTAAAACGAAACGTCAGCCCTGGTTGGACCACACCGATCTGAACCCTTCTTTCCACGTAAGCGTGTCTTCATCTTCGAAGATCCGACCCAGCATCGTGGCCTCGTCCTGCTCCAGATAGGTCCAGTTCTGTACCGCCCCTTGCCTGTTATTTTTTGCCAACTGTTTCTTGTAAGCACTGTAGATTCTGACGTGTTTCATGAAATTCACGCTGATTTTCTGAAGCACTCTCTGCGGTTGAAACTTGTCCTGGCGGAAGGCTGCCTCGCATCGCTCCAGCCAAATTTGGTGGAAGGCCACAGCAATCAGCGGCTTTTTCGGGAAGCCCGACTT